ATTAAAAATCATCATTAATTTTAATTACTGATGAGAAATCTGACTTCCCTGACTGAGAATCAGAACAAAGTGATAAAAACTATTTATTTTCGGTTTGGTTTTGTTGTTTTGGAAACAAACACACAGAATATCAAACGACCTTCGATCAATCGAATCGATTGATCGATAATGATGATGATGATGATACTTTGAAACAAAAATTCATTTTTTTTTCTACTTCTCAAAATCAAGAAAATATATAAAAAAAAGTTCAAAGTTGATAATCGATAATCGATTGTGATGAGATCAAAAGACAACCAGAAAATCAATCATTAATCAACCAGAAAATTCTGGTTGATCCACACGCACAAACACCGAAAATTAAAGCAAAACAAGAACAGAGCACCGGTAACCGCACTTAACCGAAAAAAAAAAAATTTTTTTTTGCATAAAACCAAGAAAACACCAAAAACCGAAAACCGACAGAAAGCCAGCCAGTCAGTTATTTATTTATTTACTGGCCAAATAAAACCGATAAAATTTTGGGCTTTTTGAGGCATTTTCCACTCATCAGTGTTTTTTTTTCTGTGTTTGATTTAACTTTTTTGTGTGTGTGTGTGTGTTTCTTTGGTTGATTGTCGACGTTTGATTTCTGCTTTCCTTTTTCACAGTTTTGATGTTTTTCTGATGTGATGATGTCTGAGGCCGTGTAAATATTTGCATATTACACACACACTGCACACTGCACACTGCACAAATTTGCTGACTTTATTTTTTTTTTGCAAATTTGGTTGCTAAATAACCAAACCTGATGATTGCTGCTTGAAGTTAACCAGCAAAAATTTTTTTGCTGGGTAAATAAATAAAAAATTGTCGGCTTTTTGTGGCTTGTGTTGTTGTTGATGGATGTTGTCGATAATGTTGTTGATGTTGATGATGTTGATGATGGTCATAAAAATAAAGTTTAAAGAATAAATAAGAATTCACTTGTTTCGACTATTTCTACTTTACTTGTTTCATCAAAATGGTCAATATTTTCTTGACCGAAAAAAATTCAACGATGATGATGATGTGTGAAGGTGTGAAAAGTTGATGATGATGAGTTCAAGGGAAAAGAAATTTTACTGGAAAAAATATTTCCGAAAAACTTTTTCTCAATTTGATTCAATTCAATTTGATTAATCGATCTTTTGATTAGCTAGAATGGATCAGTCGTCGTCATTTAGAATGGAAAAACTTGTTGCCTGATGACATTTGTTTGTTTGTTTGTAGTGAAGTTTGCGAATTGAATTGACTGAATGAATGTCCAAAATCAATCACACAATTAGGTTTTTTCATATTTTTTGTTTGTTTCACTTTGTTTTTTT